AGATCAAACCTATGAACAGAATTACTTACCAAGACAAAGTTCATTTTGGGAGAGCAGGCAGTGTGGAAGTTAAACAACCAACTTATGCTGAAATTCACTCATTTGAAAGCAAAACAATGTCGTTTTCAGCAGCAGGACGAGGCACTCTGACTGAGCTGAGGTGTAGATTTCCTTTAAAGCTGACTCAAATTAACGGTTTTAGGAAGGCTTTGTTTGTGCGAGTGTGTGTGCGAGTGTGTGTGTGAGTGTGTGAGTGTGTTTGTGGGTCAGGGCTTTCAGTTCTTTGGAGTGTTCAGAGAAGTGTTGCGAGAAACAGGAAACAAAGTCAGATGTAACCACCCACCCCTTACAGACACACGCATACGCACATAGTGACAGTGTAATTCCACTGAATCTCAGTGATAATGATGTGGTTCAGACAAAAGCCCTGGTGACATACATGGGGATATTTCACAAGCTGGACAGTGTGGTTAGATCTGATGGTGGTGCGGAGTGGGGCATGTAAGAGGAGGTGTTGTACACCGTGAAGGTGTTGGACATGTTACCGGCTCTAAAGCAACCTACTTTTCATTCAAACTTCAAAAGAAGAGAGAAAAAAGAAGGATGGGACCACAATGAGAATCAAACAAATGTGGTTAACTCAGTTGTTTATCATATCAGAGGAGAGAATATTGACTCTTCCTCTTTTAATCCGACATATAAATCTACACCAGTCACATTTTATTGGTTCACAAATTCTGTTCAGCGTGTGTTTTGACAATTTAACTGAACGCCACACTTATGTAAAGGACTGAAAAAATACACCAAAAAGAAGTATACAGGTTTAAAAATAGAATTTATAATCCAAAGGAATACATTGTTCATATGGCATGGAGTGCTGACTAAGACTTCAGTGTAAATCAAAAAACACAGCCAAGCCTTTTTCAAGTTTGAGAAAGAGCAATGCAATATGCAATAAATAAAAATAATGCTTTCCAAAATAAATCCAGGAGCTATCAGTGCATCAGGCATTTGGCTTCCTGCTGTAGACACAAAGACACACTGATGTAAGGATGCTACATTCAAAAAGGGGGAAATTTGAGACTTACAAAAATATCCAAAAATATCCATCTCTTTTATAATGTGTCAATACATTTGATCTAATGAGTCATAAAGCGCTGAGGTGGGAGTTAAAAAAGACTACATGAGCAGTAATAACGTCCAGTGGTTTTTAACTCACTAATAGTCATACGAAACTCGATTAATCTGAAGCATTCATCAAAGCTTTTGATGTTGAAGCTGGAGCTACAGTTGGAGCATCCATCCGCCTATCCATGTACTGCACAAACCCACAGGTACATGGATAGGCGGATGGATGCCTAGGTGTTGTCAACCTAGTCGAGAGACTTGTTGGACCAGTAAGAGAAAAAGAAAGCCAGCAAACATTGTGTAATAATGCGATCTGACTGCATTATACTCTTTTCTGTATTTATTGAACACACTGATTTATCATTCAAGATGCTGGTTGATAATATTCTTTGCCTGCAGGACATTTTAATCATTTCCAGGTCAGATCTGCACTCTGAATTTGGATCCTTCTTTCATAAAGATCGGCTTTAGCTCAGCAACAATCTTGGGATGTGTGGTGCTAAAAGGCTCTTAAAGTTAATCCTCAGCATCACAATGTTTTTTAAGTATCCTTCATGTACAATTTATATTTGAATGATTAAGATCCATTTTCTTTCATCTTACCTGCTTTCTACCAAATGTCAGAAATCCCACTTAGACACTCTCCAAGTTCTCCCCAGTGATGGCAGCAACAAGTACTGTTAATGTCTGAATAACATATTCACCATAGAGAAGAACAATGCAATGGGGTTTTTTTTTGTTAATCCATAAAATAAACGATGTTTTGTAATTGTAACTTAGATAAAGATTTGGCCATGCTTTAAGAGAAACTGTACAGCTGTGGATAGATATGTAAATGATGCGTTAGCACATTTCCTCCTGCATTCTGGTTCAATCTGGTTCAATCTGATATGCTGTCCTATAAATAAGGAAAGAGACTGGTATTGTCAACACAGGAAGCTGATGGCATATCTGAAAAGGTGTTAAGAGATAGCAAAGCCCTGATATGAAGACTCGAATGGTTACTGCTCCTAGAATGGAGTGTCCTCCGAGATGCAGAGGAAGCAGAAGATCCGGGGAGCCTGTTTACTCTTTAAGAACAATGTGTGAAACTAGCATTTCGCACGCGCTTTGTGAGTTAGCCAGGTAACCCATAACCTTCGTATTATTAGACACTGTTGGCACTGCTCATCACCACGGTTAATCATGCCCACAGTCAAACCACAGGAGCAGTGAGTGCACAAGCGATGTGCATGGAGGTTAAATTTGCAAACGTGTTTCCTCCATTTTGACTAAAAAGCCTAAAGAAAACATGAAATGCTCGACTCTACCACAAATATATTTAGATCAGAATTTAAAAGCAATTAAAAGTGTTTTTCTAGTTCATGCAAACCCTTTGAAGTCATAAAACTTTGCCTGTACCGTCTTCTACCTTTGGCATTGCTGGCAATTCTTTCTTTAGTGAGCATTCTCTGAAAGGAAAATGAAGGTGGCTGAATTCATATAATCATTAATTTATTTATTTATCTATTTTAAGTGACAGAGTTACTGCATTATGTAAGCCAGCATATGAACATTAGTTCATTGGACATTTTGGGTATTTTCTAAATGATATAATTACACCGCAAAGTCTCTAGCCCAATACTCTGCCTGTTCATAATGAAACACAAGTCTGACAAGATTTCCCAGACTCAACAGATTTCATTCAAGAGTTCTGACTTCAAAAAACGGTTGAATGAGATCACCAAAATATCATTGTGAAAGGTTGCAGGAACAAAAGAGCATATTATACTATGTGCGTAGTCAGATTTAACTCCAGATCCTCTTACATTTTCTCACACTACCACATGCGTCTATTCACTGGAAGCAGGATACTTACAAACACATGACTCACACTTTACATTTCCCCGTAGGGTTTTTCATTTCCATGTAGGTGCCATCTTTTGCCCCATCTTTTGAAGCTGTACGTTTCAATTGGCTCGTCACAGGTACCATCTTTATGACAACCTGGGACAGAGAGAGAGAAAAGAGGAAAGTTAGTGTTTTACTTCAGGTGAGCACAATTTGTAACGTGAACCATTAGTTTGTTCTGTCCTCTCAGTCCATAAACAAATGCCCACAAATACAGAGCAAACTGAGCAGGCACTGTTAATAAAAGTGGGGCAAAATTCTCCCATAATACTGACAAAGGTTTATTTTGTGTTTTTATGACTGCAGAGTCCTGTGAAAATTCTTTCAAATGACTGTAGAAATTGTTGTTTTTAGAGCAGTGAGACTATGACAGAGGATCCCAATAATTAAAAAGCCTTCTTTGCCTCAGTTACCTACATGTGTCTGCTGTCTCCTTTAAACACTGCAGCCTTAACATTTACCTGCCAAATGCAGTTACATAGGAGGCTTCATATTAACACTAAAAACGAAGAAGATAACAGTGTGGATGTACACTAGCTGTTGTAATAACAGCAATACGATTTACAGTTACTCAAGAACAGACAAAATAAAAATACTACACTTAATAAACAGAAGACTTTCTTAGTCCAAATAACTGGAATACACAGCTCTGACAAGGCCACAGGACTACATGTTGTTTTCTCAGTCAGTGTCTTTTCATTAGTTTTAGTTTTAGTGGTGAAAAAGGTCATTTCTAAATGCTGTGCCAATATTCATGTGGTCAAGAGTCTCAGTTAGCATCCTCTCAAAATGATACTCTGCAGATTATTTGTAAGATACAATATTAAGGCCGTCATAATATACTCATCATGAAAAGAGATCATTTTGGTCAAATTTAAATTTGATCCCCCTTCAGCTTTATCACACATACTGACAGCACACATCACAGTTAATGGAAGATGAGTAGGATCCTTACACTCACAGACGCTACACCTGAGATATTTCTCTCTGTGCTTTTCCTATGAAGATATTTTATATATTGAAATAACCAGAAAATACCTGTCTGTCATATTTCAGTCCAATTTAACTTGAAAACACCTTAAACTTTATCACACAAGCTGACAGTATGTGTAGCAGCAAACTGAAAATGAGCAGGATACTTACAACTACATGAGTCACACCTACGACATTTCTCTATGATGTTTTCTACCAATGTGAATGTGCCATGCTCACATTTCTTGCATTTGTACTTTTTAACTTGATCATCACAATTACCAACGTTATGATATCCTGGGAAAGACAGAGAGAAAGAGAAAGGTAACGAGTTAATGTGATATTTCCACAATAACTTCACTAAGGCCAATTATTGGCAATAATGTTCCTCATTATATCTTACCAGCTGGGCACAAATTGTAACATGAACCATCAGTTTGTTCGATCCCCTCAGTGTGAAATCCACAGGAAATCAGTGCAAGTATCAGTGGGAACATGCGAAACAAACATTTGGTCACAAAAGCTGAAACAAAAAGACAGAAAGAGTAATAATGATTGACTCTTGCCAAGAAACTGGAGAGGAAAAACTTGTTTTTTAATTTCAATAACTTTTTAGGGAGACTGAAAATATGGGAAACATATTCTATAAAATTCTAGACTTTCCACTGACAATCAAAGTTTAACATATCTTCTGAACTTTAGCAATAACGTCCAAAAAACACACAACACAGGGAGTTTTTAGGACATCCTGATAATAATGAATTACAGTAGTCCAGCCTAGAAGTAATAGATGCACGAACCAGTTTTTCAGCATCACTCTGAGTTTCTAATTTCAAAAATATTACACAAGTGGAAAAAAGCAGTCCTACATATGTGCTTATAATGCACACTGAAGCAAACCCTTGTCTAAAGTGAAACAATGCTATTCTCTCTACAGAAGTCCATCACAAAGGTCAAATATTTTCAGACACAGGTGAGAGAGAAGAATTCAGGAGAGGAAAACTGATCATACAAACAATATAGATTTTTTTTTAAAAAAACCTTGTGATATGGGCTGCACTGTTGAGTGATAGGAGATGACAGGTCTGAGAGCCGAGTGATACCAGCTTACTGGAATATTCTTCCAGTTTTACACACTGTGGGCTTCTTCATCCTCCTCTTCCTAAACCTGAACACTTATATTTATGGATGTTGGCTGCCCAATAATAACATATAAAACACAGGTAATCCCTCTGCTAACTTTTTTCATTAGATACAGATTATTTACATCTCTG